TTTTAACTCAATCCCATTTTCTCTGATATAATTAACCATACTGGTTAATTTCTCAAATCAGGTTGACTCTGTTTTCTCCAATTGGATGAGTCCCTTTGGCATTCTGCGGTCATTTTGGAAGGGAGCGCAGGAAGTGCAGAAAGCCTCGTGGTCCCTGGGCTGTGTACACAAAATTATCACCAGATCATACGTTACTGAGCTCACTAATGAGTCAAATTTCCCCATCTTCCTTTATTAACCTTGAGAGAACCCTAAATCAGAAAAGTGTGGAGCAGAAGGGACCTTGGCTATCAAGTACGTCCCACCATGTGTTTCGAAGATGGCTACAAAAAAAGAGAGGTCCGTGAACATTCTACTGGGAGGCAGCAACTCTCAGGGGCTGGAGGAAAACTCCCTTGAAGGAATATACTCAAAATGCGGGCTGCAGGGGCTGGGATGTGGGGAAGGTGATGAACGGGAAAGAAGGATAAGCCGAGTCCAGCTGAGGCCAGACTTCCCTGCCCTGAGCAGTGGGAGAAAAGCTGGTGTGGCTGCCCGGCTCCCGCACCACTCAGGGCACAGGAAAAAGAGGGTACGAGGGCTGGATAGACACGGCACCTCCAGCTCTAAGACACACTGTAGCTGTTGTAGTATGTGGCCGTGGCATCAGCCAGGACGGAGATGAGGCTGGTCTCTGTGGGACCCGTTGATGTCATCTGGGAGACCGGTACATGGCCACTGAGGGCCACAGCTCCCGTGGCGGAGTCTGGGTGGCCAGGAGTGTTCAAATACTGGTCGAATTCATTGCGATCCATGTCCCCCAGGAGTTCCACCTGGCTCAATTGATCCAGGGCATCGAAGCCAGGGTGCTCGGGAGGCGGGGAGAGCTGGCCCAGGTGGGCTTGGAGGTTGGAGTGGAGAGGGTGGTAGGTGGCCGGGGAGTAATAGGCAGGAGATGGGGGACAGCCGGATACAGAGGACATCATGGAGACGCTGGGGGGCTGGCCAAGGGCCAGGGAGCCCAGGGGGTGGCTACAGTGGAGGGGGCTGGGGGCGTACTCCGGTGAGTAAGGGGGCCCTGGAAGGTGGGGGATGCGGCGGGGGTGGCCGTGCTCCTCCTGGCAGGGGGAGGAGAAGAAGGTCTGCTCCGGCTCCAGCACGTCCAGGGGAGACATTTCAGGAGGTGTGGGCAGCCCGTAGGGGTACGTGTCCACACTGCTCGGGGTGCCGCCGCCACCAGCCGGCCCCTCGTGGTAGCAGCCGCGGAGGCTGGGCAGCGCGGTGCTGGGGGAGTACTCACCCCTGTCCTCTTTCTCCCCCAGCGCCCCCCGGCTGCTGCTCCTCTTCTCGGGCAGGACGTTCTGGTCTCGCGAGAGGGAGCTCAGGAGGAAGCCGGGGTCCACGCGCTTGCACAGCCGCTTGGCCTGCTTCTTCCTGCGCGGCCGGTACTTGTAGTTGGGGTAGTCCTGCATATGCTGCAGGCGCAGCCGCTCCGCCTCGTCCACGTACGGCCTCTTCTGGGACAGCGTCAGCGCCTTCCATGACTTTCCTGCTCACACAGGCAGAGGAGGCCATGCTCAGTGTCGTGCCCCGCAGGCATCGCACATGCACACGTCTGCACACACACGTGCACATGCACACACGCCTCCCTCCCTGCTCTCAGCCACAGAGGACGCGGGCACCTCTCGCACAGTCTTCCCAACCCAGATCCTGCAGGCACAGTGAGGCGAAATCAGCTCCTCTGCTTGCAACCATAAAGCCAGGTAGTGCACAGTGCACACAGAGTGCAGGCACACGCATATAAAAGCCGCCAGAGCACGTCCAGGATACAATGCGGGTCCGCGGTGAAAAGCCCACCTGCCCCATGTCAGCTACAGGAAGAAAATACCTAATGATCACGATATCGATTGGGGCTCTTTTTACCCTTCGAGGGTCTATTCTAGACATTTGTGCATTCTCATGAAAGTCTCTGCCTTCATTGACTAGTGCAGCCTCTTAGGAAGAGACACGATCATATTTACTTATGGTATATATCTCACAGCCCTTTCTGTGAGGGAACCCAGGCTCAGTCAATAGTTTCACAGATGTCAGTAAATCTGAGAATCTCACTTAGGTTAACACATGCCTATTGCTTACCTCTGAAGGTCGAATAGGACCCTGCTGTATGACCGAGGCCAGAATGCTAGCATCTGCTTGCAACCCATGTATGCACTCAGACTCATGCATGCACACACATAGACATGCAAACCATCATTTTCAGCCAACCAGCTTCTTGGGACCCTTGACTGTGCCAGGGCACCTGCTTAGCCACAGATCTCCATGCAGAAGCCATTCCCTTCACCTCCCTGAGTCTCGATTTTCTTCAGCAGAAAAGAAAGATATTGTGACACTCTCCAGCTCAAAACTCTCTCTTTAAAAATTGTCCCATGCTTGCCACCCACTGGTGCTAATATGCTGGCTGCGCTTGACCTTCTATTCACCGTTGCTTGCTTGTCTGTTGCTTTTCAAGCCTCCAGAACATTTCCCCTCATCCCTCAGTGTGCACTGCCCACCCCTCCAGCAGTGTTTTCTAGAGGTAGGGGGCGTCTGGACCCCTTGGGTTGCTACCTCATAAGGTGGGCTCAGGATTCTACACCTTTAACTTCTTCTCCCACGATGCTAATGTGTCCTGAAGTTTGAGACTCACTAGCCTAGAGGTTAAGGCCTAAGGAAAGGGGCCATAAGTTCTGCTTAGCACATTCTGCACGTGGCCAAGGTGCAGAGCCTGGCACACAGCAGCCCTCAGCACCTCTGCCAACTGGCTCCTTGAGCCAGGGGGTCAGAGCCGGAGGAAGGCAATGATTAAGGGCACTGTAGCACATGGGAGAAAGTTTATAGAAACTCTGTGGGGCTTTCAATTAACATCATTAGCTGTCGCTCAAAAGGGTGACTTGAAAGTGTTAGGAGCTGCAGATTCAGGGCTGGTCATCTTTTGCCAGCCTGTGGCTGAGGCCACAAAGCTGTCATAAGCGGTCCAGGGTCCAGGTGCACCCCACACCCTGTCCATGGTCTCCGTATAAAATGTGGCTCTAGCTCTAAGTGTACCTGGATGTTACATGATTAATAAAATACATGTTCATTTTAAAGTGCTACCAAATGTCTAATTGTCTTTATGCACTTCCTCATTCATAATATATTAAAAATACCAGTGTGACTAGGTCACAATGTTAACGTTAACGTTTGGAAGGTTTATAGTGGAAAAAGCTGGGACTCTCATATCCAGCCTTTTCCTCTCAGGTCAGAAAGGAAAGAGCTGAGAAGGAAATGTCACACAGGTGGAGGGGATCATCCTGCTGGCCCCTGTTAACAGGTGCACAAAGTCTACATTGTGAAAAGCACCAGCGTTACGGTTTCCCTCACCCAGTGCCAGGAGCTACTGCACTCAGCAGGAAGGAATCCATGTCTTTTCTGCAGAATGAACTGTAACCTTCTGAAGCTGAGGTGCAAGCCCTGACGGGGTCCAGCTCGCAGGAAGCATCTGTCTCCTGTGCCTGACCCTTTCCTGGGAGCAGGCTTCCCCAATTCTGCAGGGCCATGCTCCTCACCCTTCCCTGCACTCCCATCCCTGGCCCAGGCCTGCAGAGAAATCCTTCTCTAGCATGGTCACAGCAAGGGCTTGCTTGCCCAGCAGGCATGGTCAACCAGCACAGTGCTCAGGGTCCATGGAACAAAACGTTTGGGGATCCACAACAAACATATTTTCATTTCTTGTAAAATCTGAAGAAAAATAACCTACCGATTAAAGAAAATGTTTTATTATTGTACATATTAATATATTTTTCTTTATGCCAACACTGTATAAAATATGAATGTTACTATTTTTGATGAGGGTAAAGGCCCCAGAAGGCCCCAGATCACTAAGGCGGGTTGGTGCAGCCAGCCACCAGGCTGGATCCTTCGAAATCAGAACTCCATCAACTGCTTTGCACAGCAGCTAAACTGCAGGAGGGCTCGGTTTCGGACCCCCTCTGCGCTCCTGCGGCTTTAGCCAGCAGAAAGAGGGGAGTCAGTCCTAACTCCAAGGTTCCGCCCCGGGAAAGAACCCTGAGCCCTGAACTCAGACGGAAAAAGGAAGGGCTCCGTTCCGGGCCGGGTGGGGTCTGAGGAGGGAACAGTCGGCCCCGGGTGCCCACAGTCCCTTCTCACAGGGTCTGTCTCCAGCTGCGAGAACCAAGTGTTTTGAAAGGTTTTCGTGGATTAAAACGAATAAAACACGCTTCAAAGGGCAAAGAGGTTGAGGTTAAGCAGGGTTGAAAAGTACTCAACTCCAGACGTCGGAGAAAATAGAAACCCCGACACCAACTCCGGTTTTTCGGGTGTGTCCTAACAGCCTCACTCTGGATCCCTTAAACCTGGTGGGTCCGTGTCCCCAGCCCCTGCGTGGACAGCCCAGGAAGAGACCGCGCTCCAGGACAGCCCAAGTATCCAATCAAATTATCTACACCCCCGAGACTGAGAAATAGATTAACGAATCGAGTCTATTTGGGTAAGCTTTTTTTTCCCCCTATTATTTAGTTAAAGGCAAAGATTCGTTCCGCAGGGTCTCTCTTCAGGAGTATTCGTTAATTATAGATTCGTCTGTGACGGGCTTCCTCTGAGATGACCCAGTCGTAAGGTGCAGGGAATGCTGGGTTTTCCCGCTTCGGTATTCCTACCAAACGCCGGTTCCACCCAGCCCCGACGTTTCCGTCCCTGCCCTGTCCGTGCGCGCCGGTCCCTGTCGCCAGGCTTCCCTGCCTGGCCGCTGCCCCGTCGTCCCCGCCCCCCTGGGGCCCCGACCTCCGCTCCAGTTCTAGCAAAGGAGCCTCCCCTGCCTGCCGCGCGGTTTCACCTTGGGCCTCACCTAGTGCCCCCGCTCTGAATCCTGGGCACCGCGCACACCTACGCTCGCGCAGATGCCCAGCCACGCGGGCAAGAAGAGCGCCCTCGCCCCGCGCTCCGGGTCATTCCCAGGCTCTGCGCTCGTACCCGCCCCGCCAGCCTCCAGCCACCCGCTCCCGGTCCCCAGCCCGCCTGGCCGCGCGCTCACTCACCCAGCATCTTGCTGAGCTCCGCGTTGTGCAGGTCCGGGTTCTGCACCGCCAGCCGTTTTCTCTCGTCCTTGGCCCAAACCATGAAGGCGTTCATGGGCCGCCGGATACGACTCTCGGAGCCCTTGTCCCCCGGGGGCCGAGGGGCGGCTGGTGGCGACGGCCCATCCGACAGCTCGGCGTCCAGGGCCGGGCACTCGAGCCCCTCGGGCCATGGGTAGGCTCCCAGCAGCGAGGCCATGGCTGCACGCGTGTAGCCTCGCTTCGCCTCGCGGGGCCCGCGCGGACCTGGCCCTCGCACCGGTTGGGGCGTCCAACTTGGCCAACAGCCGCGACCTGGCCCCTGATTTATCAGCTTCGGGCGGCCGCGTCCTCCAATGACTCTCGAAGGCGGCGCGGCCCCTCCCTCGGTGTCAGCGCGGGTCCCCTCCCTGCGTCCCGGGCCGCCGCCGGGTCCCCGCTCCGACCTGCCGGGAGGGGGAGGGAGGAGGGGAGGGAGGGACAGCTTTCTCCCTGCGCCCTCCCCCAGCCCGCCCCTCCGCCTCTCAGGGCCCGCCCGGGGACCTGCGCCCAGTCGCCCAGGGCCTCCTTCCGCCCCCCGCCCTGGGCCGCCTCTGGCCCCCAGCCCACCGCCCGCAGGCAGGCGCAGGAGGCCGGCGCCAGCCCCCGGTCTGCCCCGGCCAGACTCCACCAGCCCCTCCAGCCCCTGGAGCCTCGGAAAACCCAGCCCTACCAGGTTTCCTCGAGCCCGCCTGGGCGTGAGACATTGACCGTGAACCCCTCGGAGCAGCCGTTCCTAAGAGAACACTCCGACTGCCTTTCTTTCCGAAAATGACCGGGCTTCGGCCACCGCAGCCCCAGCCAACTTGGGCCCCCACAGAGGTCGGCCAGGGCCGGGGATGGGGGCTGCCTCCCGCCTGGGGTTCGGTGCAGTGCCCACCCAGGGGCCCTGGACGCCCCGCCGCCCCTGGCTCTCGGGAGGGCGTGGCCGTCGTTCTGGTTCTCAGCCGCCTGCCTGGTTGATTTCTCCTCTCACTCCACCCGCACCCAGTCTCCGGGTCCAAGCCTCCAGCTCCCTCACTTCTGGTCCTTCTCACCCTGAATTTTCTCCTTAAATTTTGTCTTTCTCCTCTGGCAGTCCCGCTCTTACAAGTGGATCAGTCTCTCCCGCCCTCTCACGTCCCCACTGGCTGTGCTGAGAACTGCGAACTGCGAACTCCCCCAGTTTCCCTCAACTGCACACCCCAGGGTGGACCGGCCGTGTGTGCCTGGCCCGCGTGCAGCCTAGGGACTTCGGGCTGGGAGCTCACGGCCGTCCCTCGCCTGCGCTCACCGCAGCTCCCACGTCATCTGGGGCGCTGTTCCCGCCTCTCACATAAGCAGTAGGTGCTCAAGGCCTGCAGAATAAGTGAGTGAGCAAATATGGCTTAGGCACCTACTGAATATAAGTCGGCAGGTTTGACTAGATCCCGGAATTTACAGAGTGCCACCCCTGTGCGGGACTCCACAAAGGTGACCCTGGAAGGAGGCAGTGTTGTGGGGGGGTGCCGCGGGGTCTGGAGTCAGAACCTGTCTTAGTGTTTAGGTTACTGAACGAGCGGCTCTGGGCGAGTGGATCTCCTTGCCTAATCCTAACACTGGAAGATGGTAAGGCTGACCTTCCAGGGCTGTTGTGAAGATTCGGTGAGATAAATGTAGCGAAAGCTTCGGCCCTCCCTGTGATGCTTAATGTTAATATAACTCTAGGCACGAAGCCCGTGGGCCTGAGTCCGGATTTCAATGTCCCCGCGCACAGCGACCGATGCTTTGCATGCAACATGACGCGAGCCCCACAGCTGAGACCCGGCAAGTGGAAGGAGAACTACAGCGTCTCTGTTTACATGTCCTAATTTTCACCTCTAGAGCCCGGGACAATTTTCAAACGAGAATTAGCTTTCTGCACAAAAGAGATGGCTGGGGTTGCCCCTGTTCTCCAGCCAGGATCCAGAAGCAGCACCCTAGGCCAGTGCGCCCCATCTGCTGCTCTCGCGGGCAGGGATCTAAGGGTGTGGGGCGGGGTGCGCGCTGGGCAGCGCGGGCAAACAGGGTGCCCGCCGCTGGGGCAGCAACCTGGAACCCGAGGCGGAGCAGCGGGGGACCCAGCGGGGACCGTTTGCAGAGAGTGCGTCCTCCACCTAAGCGGACTTCCCAACCCCGAAAAGTCCAGGCCATTCCCAGTGGCTGGCCCCTTTCCAGCATGTGCCACCCGCAAAAGCCCTAGGCCAGAGTGCGCCTCGTGGGATCCAGGGCCGCGCTCGGCCAGGAGAAGGGAGCTCTTTGAGAAAGGGGAGAGACAAGAGTCCCACTGGGGTCTTGAGCTGCTGTGGAGGATCCCGGAAAGAGCTCGCCCCGACCCTTTCTGACCCTACTGAGCTCCAGGGCGGGGGCAGTGCTCTGCAGGGTCGGAGGCCACGAGGGACAGCGCCCCCTTCCCGACGACTGGCGTCCCCACTCCCGGCCCCAGCACCTAGCGCCCTCCCTGCAAGGCCCCAGGACAGTGCGCACGCCGTGGGACCGCGCTCGGGCACCAGGTTAGGAAGATGCGCCCTCCCAGGGGAGCACCGAAAGGTCAAGTTAGATCCCAGATACCGATGGCAACAACAGAGAAAACAACGGGAACGGGGCCACAGAATACGGGCTGCGATTGTTGTCTGCACTTGTTTAGCTTCTTGCTTTCCCTCTGCAGAGAACTCGCAAGCTTGGGCTGTCCAGGAGGTAAGGGCATGGAGGTAAGAGCATTAACCACCCCAGCCCTGGCGCCGGCGCCGCCCGGAACTTAGGAATTGTTTGCACCGCAGTGGCCAGGCTCGCTCGTTCCATTCCTTCATTCCCTTGAGTAGGCGCATTTATGCACCTGGGCAACTGTGCGCGAGCGCGCCCTGGTGCAGGCGACGCCAAGGAATGCCGGGTCGCCGTAACCTCGCCGCTTCTCCGGTCACTTCGAACCTCACTACTTCCAGAGCTCCGCGCCGACTCTACTCGACCCCAAAGCCGGGGGTTCGGAGGGCAGAGCTAGAGGGTGAAGGCGCAAGCCCTGGCATCCCGGCACCTGCTGTCGCCAGCGTTGGCTTCGGGGCCGCAGTCACCTGTGTGTCCAGCGGCTCTTGGGTCGAGGCTAGGTGCGGCGAATCGTCACGGCGCGAAGCCCTGGAAGACCTCGCGGAGAAAGGTCGAGACCCAGGGCTACCGGGCCAGATCTTGCGGGGGCTCTGACCCTCGGCGGGACGGGTTGGAGGCTCCTGCAGGGGCTGCCAAGCACAGGCGGAGAGGCAGGGCCTGGTGTGATGACGCTGGGCACACTGGACACCGCGCGTGCTCCACGCAGCCGACCTGGCGGCACCACCGGAGCTCACTCCTCTGCGCGAGTTACCTGAGCTGCACTCTTCGCTCATCTCCTAAATGACGTTTTCTACTTCTTCCTTTTCTTTTTCCGTCCCTCCCTTTTCCCTTCCTCACTCCCTCCCTTCTCTCTCCCCCACCTCCGTTTAGCTCGATAGTTCTGTGAACATTGGTTTCCAAGCACACAGGACCTGAAGCCAGAAATCCTCAATTCCAATTTTCTGCAATTCACTTGCATTGTGATAACTCATTTAATCTCGGCCTCAGTTTCTTCACTGGTAAAATGGGGATAATATAGGGTTGCTGACACAGTGTTTGTAAAAGCTCCTCGTATACTTTTCTTGAGTTGTGAAATATTATAAAATCATGAGTGAAAACCAAAACAAAAACCAAAAAACAAAAAAAACCCCAAAAAGTCGGGCGCCCACAACTTTCCTCTCCAGGAGCTTTTCTTATTCTATTCCAAACTGAAGAATTTCAGCTGCCCGGGGCGGGGGGGTGGGGGGAAGGGGAAAGGGAGGAGGAGGGGGGAATCCTGTCGCAATACCCTCGGCACCTGCTCCAAACCCGCTGCCTGCGGACTCGGAGCTCTGAGCTGGACCAGGTGCGGCCCGGGCCAAGTGCCTGCCTTGGGTGGGGCCGCCGCGCATGCTCGGGAGGCCTGCAGCAGCGCCTGCAGGCGTTGGGTGCAAGTGTTCTGTGGTTTTTAGTCCCTCGCACCAGGCTAGAGGTTGAAGTCTCTATCATCACCATCTTTGCTTACCCTGATTTGTCTGTACTTGATTGGCCGTCTGCAATGCAGGTTCCCATTCACTAGCTCATCCCCGCCTCCACACAACCCTCTAAGCAGAAGGCCCAGAGTTTCAGGGTTGAGCCATTTCCCAGACGAGGCAGGTGAGGCTGCAGCTACAAGTTCCAGCGCACAGACCCCAACGCGCGGCTCCTGCCCTCACGCCTGGACTACCAGGTTCCTGTGCGCCGGGGTGGTGCTCCAGCTCGTCCTCGCCACAGTCCCAGGCCCGAGGGAGGGGCTTCTAACCAGCAATGCGACGCCCCCTGGCTTTGTGTCCCCTTTAGCCGGATCTCTGGAAGTTCCACTGGACCTTTCCTCATCCAAAGGGTGCCTGAAGTTTAAGGCATGTTCTAAACAAGGTAACGTGAAAAGCAAGGGGCCAAACCCTGCTGGCCATGGTGCAGGCTGGAAAGAGGGGAGAACCGGCCAGGCCTGCCGGCCCCGCCTCCCTGCGCCTTGCGGGGTCCAGCAGTCTGCAGCTCAGGTTCCCTACAGGGCGCTGCAGTGGAGTTCCTTGTTCAACCCACGGAAATCTCTCTATAGTCATCGAGGAGAAATCCGTCAAATTCCTAATTCAGAATAACGCTCTGTGATTAAAACAGCAGGGATTGGCCAGGCACGGTGGCTCACACCTGTAATCCAGCACTTTGGGAGACCAAGGCAGGCGCATCACCTGAGGTCAGGAGTTCGAGACCAGCCTGGCCAACACGGTGAAACCCCGACTCTACTAAAAATACAAAAATTAGCCAGGCATGGTGGTGCATGCCTGTAATCCCTGCTACTTGGGAGGCTGAGGCAGAAGAATTGCTTAAACCCAGGAGGCAGAGGTTGCAGTGAGCCGAGATTGCACCATTGCACTCCAGCCTGGCAACAGAAACTCTCTCTCTCTCTCTCTCTCTCTCTCACACACACACACACACACACACACACACACACCCCTAGCAGGGATTTAAGATGTACACCTGCAGCTTCACTGCCTGACTGAAGCAGGTAAAACACAAGGACATTACATCAGTTTCACAGAATCTGAAGTCCAGTAGCTTTTCTACATGAACCCAGGGAAAAAGGAATACTCTTTTCAGATTAGATTGCTCCTGAATGTGGGTAGTGTAGATCCCTTATAGCATCAAAATCTTTGTCTAAGAGTTGCTTAAAATACTGGGCTATAGTTTCCCCAGGTCACTCACTCCTAGTTACTACAGAGGCCCCCCTGTACATATACGCCTGTGAACACCCCAACCCACCACTTGTCTCTGATGAATCATGTCTCCAGGGGATACCTAAAG